CATGTTTATTTGTCTAGAGTTTGAATTAAAGCTTTATATGTGATTTTCCACACCTAAAAGTAATAGAAATCAAGTATATCCTCTGAAAATAACTCTGTAAGTCATGACTGTCTACAATGGGTGTAACACCCGACTCCCACTGTCTGTGATGTTTTCAGAGTCCTATCTTCAGTTTGTTTACATCGCCAGGACGGCCGGCTGACTCCTCCCCTTGCGTATAAAACTTGTTTAATTGAGGGACTAGAGAAAAGAAGAATAACATACTGTACTCACTGCTTAACTGTGTTTCTAGATCACGCTCATTTCAGGTAAATTTACATGCAGTGTGAAGATATGAGCATAATAAAGATCGCTAGCATTAGCATGCTAACACAACAATGCAGCGCAAGTTGTTTTGGTTTCATGCTGGTGCTCAAGGGCGACATCTGCTGGATCAAAAAATCGCATATAAAGCCTTTAAATATAATACTCAATATTCTGAAATGGGTCATTCTGTCTTATGACTTATCCTTAGTACTTAAACGTGTTTGTACTTTTACTGAAGTGTTTTTCAGTGCAGTGCAGTGCAGTGCAAAACCTTTAAGATGTTTTAGATAAAGGTATTACTAAACTCTGGTTTCTCAAGTACAACTTCTCAGTACTTCCTCCACAAGTTCTACTTTTCTCATAGTCTAATCTCAAGATGCTCCAGTAGTCCTGACTACTGCGTGCAGCACATGTAGCAGAGCACCACAGCTGATCAGACAAAGATCTATTCTTAAATAAGTTGATTATGTATCATTTGACTAAATATTCTTTGAGCCTTCTGAGCAACTTCATACTGGTGTAAAATCAATTCATTTTTCACATTGGTAAAGTCCCATATCAGTTGGGCTCGACTATCAGGATAAACTTGATGCAGAAATTAATAAAGCAGTTGAATAACTCACAATCTGTGTTTTTCAGACTCCCCTCCTGATGAGCAGCCCCTGCAGACGCCCGAGCTGAATGAAAACAGTGAGGTTGTGGTGGAGGAGAACAAGATGGAGGTGAACTGCAACGGCTCTGCCTCCCCACCGGAGAGCGAGACCAGTCCAGAGAAACAAGGGACCAAGAAGTCGACGGAGGAGCAGGAGGACCAAGAGAATGCCAACCAACCTGACAGTAACACAGACTCCCCGGACACGTTAGGTAACAAAGAGGAACATCAGACTTGTAACGGTTCACCAGAGGACCAAGACGCCGACCCTCAGCAGCTCCCGGCCTCTCTCTGTCCTGAATCTGTCAGTGTAGAGCTGACGGAGACAGACAAGGAGGAGAAGAAGGAGGAGGAGATGGACACTCAAGGGGAGACCAAAAGAGAGGAAGAAGAAGAAGACAGCCAGTGTGGTAAGTTAAATGAAAGCAGTATTCATTTTATGTAACTGTTTATTTCAGTCATTTAATGACGCCACAGGAAGCTTGATTCATTAAAGTATAACAAACTTTGGACTGAATAATACCTGTTTAGACAGCTGATTCACATTTAATAGCATAATATGAACAAGCTCGGACATGTAATTGATCATCTTCTGAGCAAAAGTTTGCTTTAATTTGTCCAGAAACACAACATGCATTGAATTGAGGAAATAAAACTGAGTTTTCACTTAGTCAGAGTGGGCTCTACTGTTATCAGAAAAAGTGACTGACTGTATCAGAAGAGAAAAGTCTCATACATCAATAACAATTACTCTTAAATATTATGTTATGAATGCAACAAACATAAATAAATCATATGCATCCCTTTATGCCTCACTTCATCATTCAGCTCAAACCGGAAAGTTGTGAGTGTCTTAGAGTTTCCTTGTCTCTCCGGTGTCAGAGGTTTTCTAACATTGTTGCCTCTGCTCGTCTATCTCGCCCTCCTCTGCCTCTCCTCTCTTCAACATGCTCATCAGGCAATTTGTTAGTAAACCCCTTGGAGCCTCTCAATGCTGACAAGCTTCAGGTTAAGATCGCTGACCTCGGAAACGCCTGCTGGGTGGTGAGTGCAAAAATACCACTTTTTTTGAATGTCAATGAAGGGATCCTATTAGGATTCAAATCCCCACTGGGCTTTAAATCAGTCAGCAGTACTTTGTAAACGCACACAACACCCCCCCCCCCCCTCGCCCTCAGGTTGTTACTCAGCATTTCTCTTTTTATTTTTTATCTTTCAGCACAAACATTTCACAGACGACATCCAGACACGACAGTATCGTTCTCTAGAGGTGCTAACGGGAGCTGGCTACAGTACACCAGCAGATATCTGGAGCACAGCCTGCATGGTAAAATGCACATACACAGTCACTGTACCACTATGAAGACGCAGTGTCAGAAACTGTTATAGTATTTAAGCTTCAAGTCAATTTGTTACATTTTGATTGTTGGTTGAAAACATGTTGAATTTCTAACCACATGTGATGTCTTTTGTCTTTTCTGTGCATGATCTACATCAGAAGTAAAACTGCAGGAGGCAGAAATGTTTATAATGTCCATTTGAACACAGGTCATAACGACATGAGATACAACACAGATGAGATGAGAATCAACTTTATTGTCATTACACATACACAAGTATAGAGTAACGAAATCTCACCAGAAGTGCAATAAGCAGAAGGTGCAACAATCTGTGCTATGTACAAGTAATTACAGAATTTACAGATGTAGACAAAAAAAAAGTGAATTATTGGGTATACATGGATGGGTGGATTAATGGGATGCTATAAATATATAGATATATATAGATTACAGATAATAAACAGAATATGGACATATTGTACAGGTCGATAACTTATTGAGGTGATATGAACATACTATACAGATTTAGACAGTAATACAGGTGGATAAGAGATGTGTATGTATGACCACACACACACACATATATATATATATATATATGTGTGTGTTTATATATATGAAAGTGTTTCCTGGTTTTGGCATGACAGACTGTAACAGACAAATTATAAATAACAATCATGCCTTCTCGGGCTATAATAATAATGAACATGTTTTACTACAGGCCTTCGAGCTTGCCACTGGGGATTATCTGTTTGAGCCCCACTCTGGAGAAGACTACTCCAGAGATGAAGGTCAGTTTCCTCTGGGTCACCTTTCCCCAAACACCACACCACAAGTTTTAACTGGGGGATTCATACAGTGGACACACTAATGTGCACTTTGTTAATGTTTCAGTGTCTTTATGGACTGTCTGACTTTTGTTTCCCATCACTGTAGATCACATCGCGCTGATCATAGAGCTGCTCGGTAAAGTTCCTCGGAAGCTGACTTTGGCAGGCAAATACTCTAAGGAGTTTTTCACCAAGAAAGGTAAACAGCCGGCCACACGCTTTATGTAGCTCACATCTAGTCCACCCTTACACAACACAAATTGTTTGATTTATTTTGACACTCAAGTGTTCTTATTTAAATGTTGTATTCCTCCAAGGCGACCTGCGTCACATCACCAAGCTGAAGCCATGGGGATTATTTGAAGTGTTGGTGGAAAAGTACGAGTGGTCCAAAGACGAGGCACACAACTTCAGCAGCTTCCTGCTGCCAATGCTGGACCTGGTGCCTGAAAGGAGGGCCACAGCGGCCCAGTGCCTCATCCACCCATGGCTCACGTCCTAGAGGCCACCCGTGCACACTGTCACCCTCGCATTGTGAAAGGACGATCCTGTGCTTCAAAACATCCCGTTAGCAAACACATTCATGTCTGCAAGAACCTGTGACTGCATTGTGCCTGCATCCTCCTGTTGTAGTCCTGAGAGGCCGCCCCACACACACACACACACACACACACACACACACACGTTCATGAACACAATATAAAGAGAGGCTGCTGCCGAGTCTTGGTCTTGTTCTGGATAACACTGGTGATAGAAGGAACTCTTGGGCTTCCCCCTTTATTTATGACTTTTTTTTTTTTTTTTTTTACTGGCTGCTTAGAACTTATCCACCTCACTCAATTGTTTTTCTGACTCCAGCTCTTTCTCAGAAGCACATTAGTTATTTTTAGCTACACATAAAAGGAATTGCACTTTTCTACATTTAATCATTTAGGTCATACGTGAGCCAAATATGTCTCTGTTCTACCACCTATGATAGCTGAGCGAGCCCTTTTTAGCCGTCAAGTGTTTACCAAGTGCTCACAGTTGTTAACTGCATATTGCTAACGGGCATGGTAAGAGACTTGAAATGATCTCATTACTGTCAACATGGCTTAATCTGGAAATCTTTTGTACATTTATATACAGAAAAAAACAGCATTATAAGAAATTATAATAGTAACTGGATCTTCTGAGAGAAATCAGAAATCAAACTGTTCTCATCTGTAATCTCGTTTTTTAGCCTCAGCATTTTCTTGAGTTGTCAAAAAAAGACTTGGCACATTATAGTATGATAAACTCCTGCTGTACATTCAGAGTCTGCAGGACTCGTGGTGTCATTCCGGGATGTTCATAAAGGCTTCATGTCATTTCCCACTTTTATCTAAATGTTCCGTGTACCAACAGGAAGTCCCTTCAGGCTCTTCCTCTCTGCAGAGAAAGATTTGCACGGTTTCTAGAAGAGACTTGCAAGTTTCCCAAAATATTTGCTTTTTTATTTGACACTTTTTGAAGATGCCTTGAAGAATGTTAAAGCTAGTTTCGAGCCATGAGAAGAAAAAAAAATCTGAGCTTCATTTCACGTTCTTTCACTGCACATTGTGGCGTCGTGTCTAAGAATAATAGATTGTACTAAAAACAGAATCTGTAGTGATGCTTTAAAAAATCCCTTTGAACCATTTTGCCTGTTTTTTCTACAAAGTCGTCTGTCCATGTCTCCCCTTTTAATTTGTCTCTTTTTTTGTAGGCAATAATAAACATTTTTTCAAAATCTAATTCGAAAGTATTTGTCTCTTTAATCATCTCTGCAATTTACCACCACAAAATATGCACAGGTTGAAACATGAACACTCGTGATCTAAAAATGTTTATTTTGAGAACTGATTACTCCTTAAATACATCTCAATATTGGTTAGAATGTCAAATGATGAACCCTCGTTTATAAATACATATTCAGGTGAATGCTGTCGGAACAGTGCAAAAGAAATAAAGTTTTCTGGGTTATGTCACAAATGCCAGTTACAGTAAGAGTTGATTAAATGTATCTCTCCAAAGTAACTAGGACCTAAAAACAGTGGTCCTAAGACTCCCAGTCAGAAGGAGCTCCTTGTAAAAAAAAAAACCAACATGTTGAGATTGTAATTTACAATCGTTAATTATCAAAACCGTAAAAAAACCCTTTGAGTCCCTGAAGACAGAAGTTCACCTCCAAGTCTTGTACGTCATTGCTCTTGTTGTCCACACGGGGACTAAGCATTATCTGGAGAGGAAGGCAACAGAGAGAACAATATGTCATTGTTATTTCAGAGAATGCTCTGTGTCAGTGTATCAGTAATCCAGCTGCAGCATTTCCACACAAAAAATATCATAGTAGACATTTTCATTTTAATAACAGACTCACAATAATCATGCTAACATGTCCCTGTTTAGCAGGTTGAATATATATTACATAAGTTTAGTATGCCAAAAGTTTGACTTGATAAAAAGTCAGGACTGTTTTACAATCATCCTCTGATGACAATGGTTGTCTTCACCATATTTCATGGCAAGTTAGTTGTAGTTAGTTTAAGAGGATACCCTGTCACCTATTTTTCTACCATGGCTCTATGTTTAGATGTGTAAACTGCTAAATATAAATAAACTTGTCCTGGGTTGAAAAATACAGGCCTTCTCTTTTCAAAGTGTGAGTAATTGTTATCCATTTATTTCACTTTGAATTGGAAATGTCAACGCCATAGTGAGTTGTCTGGGAATATTAGAGGACCTTTAAAGTAAAAATTGTCAATGTTAAAATTGTTTTTCTGGGGTCCTTTAGGTTTCAAGGCTGCCCATCCTCTGCTTCTCAACTTTAAAAAGAAAATCTCCAGCTAAAGAAGTTAAGTTATACAGCAAACCCTTTCAAACCTTTAACCTTCCTCTTGCATTTTTTTCATCTTGGTTGAAACACCATCGCCTTCACTTCTCTACAGCTAGATACCCTTATGAAGCCTTTGTCTTTTTTTGTCTTGTCTTTTCCCTCATTTACAATGATGTTCAGATACAAAACAAACAATTTACAACATTTGCAACAGTTAAGAACATTCACAATTTGTGTGTATTTGTGTTTATAAAATACAATCACACACTGAGGTTTCAGATAAATGACTCAATTTGTCTAAGAGACATCAGAGTGCCAATCTTAAGAGTATTTTGCACAAGGTTCCACATGTTTGGGGCAAAGACGCAAAAGCAGATTTTCCTATTCAGAGTGAACCTGTGGGACTTGAAGCAATAGACGGGCAGTAGAGCGAGTATGGTACGGTCCAGTGGACCAGTTCAGCATAGACGTTATATAAGGAGGTGCACTATAAGTGACAGCTAAATGTTGGCATCGAAAATAATATTTGGAATTGAAAACACACCTGAAACTGAAATAAAGAAAGATTGGCATTGAAACACTTGTATTGTAAAAATGTGTATTGGCACTGAAACAGATAAGCTGGAGATATATACAGTATATATATATATATCTATATAGATATTTATATATATACATGATATATCGTTGATATGCAGATTATATGTAAATTACGCTCTCATTGCCCCCTCCCATCAAACCCTCCCCTCCACGCCAGAAAGGTGACAGAGAACTGAAACCGAAAACCGCACACAACGTAAAAAATCTGTCATCAGAAGAGAAGAAAACATCAGAAGAGAGTCACTGAAAAACACACCAGAATGCAAAAGCTGTTAAAATAAAATAAAATATTTTTTAATGCATGTTCTTTGCTCTTCATTGAAACTTTTTTCAGCGCCAATATCTGTTTCAGTGCCAATGCACATTTTTACAAGTGTTTCAATGCCAATCTTTCTTTATTTCAGTTGAGGTGTGTTTTCAATTCCAAATGTTATTTTCGATGCCAACATTTAGCTGTCACTGTTTATCTAAGAGATTCATAGATAAAAAGAAACAGGTGTTTATCACACCTCTGTGCCAGAGAAGACCAACCAACTTTGTTATACAAAATACAAGGAATGTGTATTTTCACTCTCCTACCTTTCCCCTCCACCTGGAAGTCCTCGGGCAGCAGCTTGTCTTGTCGGCTGCCCAGGCTGAAGGCCAGGAAGGAGAGGATGAGCGAGTCCATGATGCTGATGATGGCCAGGATGTAGGCCCAGCGCACCGTGCAGTTGCCCAGGGTGTATTTGTCGGTCCGTTGGCCACACATGCGCTTCACCTCGTCCGAGTCCCAGCCGTCAGGATAGATCATACAGCCGATCACCATGCAGGTGCCTGAGAGCGAGAGATGCACCACATATGGCACGGTGTCAACTTTCAGTCATTCATACAGCTAACTTTCAAGATTTAGATTTAGGAAACCTGAGGGAATTAACAGAAATGTGTTTGATTTTTATTCCGTTTTCACTTAAATGTCACATACAAGTTTCAGAGGTCTCCAAAACATGTCTGTGAAGTTTCTTGCTAAAAATCCACTCCAATCCTGTATTTATGCCTATAAACCCCTCTATTTCAGCCCTGCTCAGAACAGGCTGTTTCTGTGTCTGTATTGCTTTAAATGCAAATGAGCTGTGTCTGACCACGCCCCCTCTCTGGAAGGGCTCGGGGTTTCTCACTCCATGCCCAATTGTTTACGGTGAGAAGGCAGACTCAGAGGGAAGAACCGAACACCTAGCTGTGGGAGTGTCACCCACCTGGGGGAGGGGTTATTGCCCTTTGTGATGTCATGAAGGGAAAATCGCCAAATGGCCTGTTTGAGCACACATTTTATAAAAAGTGGAGCAGGCAAAAGACGGAGAGGATGGACTTTCTCATAATTAGAGGGTTTGTAGACAGGCACATATTAGTGACCAAAAAACATAGTAAAGTGTATTTTGCACAATATGTGAGCTTTAACAAGAGCATCTTTCTGCTCCAAACCAACTCCTCCAAAACCACTGCTGAAATAATTATAATATTATATATATACCAATATACCAATAATAATATTGGTGGTGCAATATCACAAACCAACTCCTCCAAATCCACAATCCAACAAAATACACACACACACACACACACACACACACAAATGTGTGTTGCCAAGCAGTTTCAGAGCAATTTGACTCCACATAGATGAGCTTGTTCATCTATTATTGACTCTGTTAATAGACAGCCATATTAGCATTAAGAGCCCTGTGTACTATTACAGTATGTGACCAGATAGTAATTAACACACACACACACACACACACACACAGGAATCACTTTCACTTTTCATGCCTCACTCAACCTTTTACTTTCTCAAAGTTCTCACACTCACTCAAGTCTTAAACTATAATTTCAATCTTGATAATCTTAAATTTCATAACACATCAGGAAGTGAAATGTCGACAACCCGTAAACAATGACTCAAAGTCATTCATATGTGTTGAGTTTCAATCACAGACTTTAAAAGAAAAGCTTTTAATTCCCTGAGGCAGAATAAAATATTCAATGACAAACCTAACTACAGCTGTCACATATATTTAGTGGAGTAAAAGTTCAATATGTTCTTCTCAAATGAAGTGCTGTTGGTGTATAGTAGCACAACATTTACATTATTAAAGTAAAATAATGAATCCACTTGCTCTGTCAAACCACTGTATGACACAAAAGTAACCCTTATGACCCTACACCAGACAAATATCCATGAAAGACCATGTCTTAGATTTAGTCCAACAGACAGAAATACTCACACACACTGACATAAAACCTGATTCTGAACAGAAGCACCTGCAAGTGAAAGGACAAGCCTCAGATTAGACAAATAATGAGATTAACCCCGAGGTGCCCTGTTACACTTTCTCCTCTCCTTTTCCATTCTCTGCACACCTGCTGTTCAGTGTGTGTGTGTGTGTGTGTGTGTGTGTGTGTGTGTGTGTGTGTGTGTGTGTGTGTGTGTGTGTGTGTGTGTGTGTGTGTGTGTGTGTGTGTGTGTGTGTGTGTGTGTGTGTGTGTGTGTGTGTGCTCTGATGGATGACAGACTTTCTGTCTGAACTGCGCACATACACTATATGCCTATACAATAATCTAAATTAGTTGTATACCTACAGTATGTTTGTACATTACACTATTTCAACCCAAAGGGATTTGACTGGATGGTGTGCATGTGTTGGATTGTAGAAGTGTCATTAATTACTATAACATTAATAAAATATACGCTTTACAGTGTTTCTTTAACTTTCAGTCACAAGAAAAGCTTTGTGATGTAAGATGAAAAAAAACTGATCAAACCCAGAAACTAAAATGAGTTTGAGCTAACAAATTCAAGGGTCACAATCAGACATTTTGGTAACAGTAAAGTAGTGTTAAGTAGTAAGATGCCCCCCCACAAGAGTGCTTGTGTAAAGATGGAGGAGCAAAGAGAGATAAAGCCATACTCACATACACATTGAACCGATCATTTAAAATCAAGTTAATAATAATTTCATATTAATGACCAAAGGAAGTTAGCTTATACGCTATTTTTGTAGCCTTTAAACAAATTAGCTTTTTTTTTTTTTACTTTTCTGAAAGCTTATTTCAAATGTACTTTAAGAGGTCATTCTATGAGATGAAATGCAAATAAATCATCGAGAACTGTTGTTATTGCTTGATTACTGGATATGTCAAATGAAAGTAAACTAATCACCAAGTATTTCTAAAAGACAGTAGGCTATTTCTAATTCACTTTTCAATAAGAAATTTAGACTTCTGAAATGTGGGGATATCTATATTTCTATATCTATATTTGCCATGTTTTAAATAGGCCTTGTAAATAGGATAGGCTGTAACTTTGGGAAACGATTACATTTTCTCACAATTTGTCTGTTTTATATCAGGATTATTTTAGACTCTCTATTTAGGAATTTGTCTATATTTTGCAGATAATCAATAAATTAAATGATAACATGTGTATCAACCCTCACATCGTGTTCCTATATTCCTACAGTGACCGCCACACAGCCTTCACAGCTAAACTTTTGGTGCTCACTGGAGGCCAGCTGCATCCAGGCGCAGATCTTGTAGACGCTGCCCGCGTTGAAGAAGAAGAAGAGGCTGAAGCAGACAATGCTGCCCACCACCAGCAGCATGGAGATCCCCACGAAGAACATGGCCGTTTTAAAAGCTCCGGACGGGATGGAGCCGAAGTCCAGCGCGCTCCCTTTGCACGTGAGCTCCGAGGTGAGCGCGTTCCCGATGCAGTAGTGGAAAAGGCCGAAGTAACCGGCCTGCGGGGTGTTCACGCTGTCCCCGATCCAGTACGGCTGGATGAAAACCACCACGGTGATGACCGCGAAGGTGACGGTGAAGACCTGCCACAGCACGCCCATCGCCCGGCTGTTACGCACATAGTTGGTGTGGTAGATTTTGGCGGCCTCCTGAGCCGGCAGCATGGCGGGAGGGGATCTTAAAGTTTCTAATTATGGGTTGAAAGCCTTCTTTCCCACTGTTTTCCTGTGTTGAGGAGCTAATACGCCAAAAGGTAAAGACTTGAAGATCCTTGTTTAAAAAAAAGGACAACTGATGGCACTTTTTGAACACAGCCCTAACTCTCTCCTCACACTGCTGAATCAAACATGAAAAGAAGTTCCCCTCCACAGTCTTTAGTCTCCATACATCAATCTGCTTGTTACTGTGGCTGGATGTTTCTGACCCCTCTGATCAGCAGGTAGTGTTTCCTTTCTAGGGGAGACTGCAGTCTCCACATCATGAATGTTTAATGGCCAACAGATCCAAAACACAGCTAGCATCTCCAAGTAGCAAGCCAGGCCTCCTTTCACTTTTAAAGTCAGGATTTCAACCTGTTCCTTAAGAGACTGATTCCATATTTGTTTATTTTGTCGTTGTAGTTAAGAACAAGTAGTCTTATATGCAGACAGATTGTTGGGTCAGGCCATGTTTTAATGGCTAATAACATTTTATGATTGGCTTAAATTTTCTAAATCTGACCCAAAACATTTATCAATAGTGTGTATTTTATGTACAGTGGATGTGGACCATGGACCAGCACCAGCACTGGGTCGGTATCCATTAGACTAACACAGCACACTGGAGTCTCCTTTACAGTGGAAAAAAACAACAGATGCATCATGTTATGTCTCATGACTCATAATAAACTCTGATAACTGCTCATTAAAAAGCTCTCTATACAAATCCACCAGGTTCTGTACTTAGAACTCTGTGTTTTCCATGAAAACTAATGCCGCCTGCTCCGAGTACAGAGGCTATAGTTCTCATCACAGCTGCTGTGGGTTGGATCTGACCTGGGACCCTTTGCTGCATGTAATCCCCCACTCTCTAGTTTGAACTCTCTAGTTTAGGGAGTCATTACTCCATAATATATTCACAAAAGGTATATTTGATTTTTGCTGTAAATATTCAGAATGTTGCATCATACCTATAACTTTAGGACGTCCTATTCACACAGGTGGGATTGTTGATTTTGTTACCTAAGTCAAAGAAAAGACTATGATTACTCTCCATACACTTGTGTCATTACTGAAAACTGAGTCCTTAGGACAGTTAGAGGGAGTTTAGTCACAGCAGCCTTGTTCTAACAAGTGACTGAGCCACTGATGGAAAGAAACCCCACAAGGGACTAAATACAGCCTCAGTATTTACTACAGTCTAGCACTAGAGGGAGCTACTGAGCTTCAGTGTTACTTCATCACTTTATCACAGATTACTATAATCTGTTTGTTTCAAGCTTCCCCCCTAATCGCTCTTTACACAAACAGAAGTTTGGGTTGTTTAATACCAAGCTGCTTGTCAATATCAAGTCCTATTCTGGCCATCTTTAATATTGTTTATGTATTTTATTGAAGTTATTACTGATACCTATGCTGGCAGTCCAGGGGTTTATAAACTCGGTTAAGAAATGTGACCGTTGCATCCTCAACACATCTCTTTGCTCCGTATGCAGTTTGTTAAACCTGACTGTTATTTCAGACTTTATGTCAGACAAACTCAAAACATTTCATAAAAACTCAGAGCAATCGGTCTAAACGTGTTTAATTCAGAGGGTCTGAGTCTTAATATGCTGCATGACTTAACTTTAGGGCTTACATCAATGCAGATAGTGGTCGAATATTTTAAATATTGTGGCCTATAAACCCATAGACTAGTGTAATAGGATGTTAGCTTCTTGTGTCATACCCTCATTTTCTTTTAAACAGATGTTTGTTGTACTCTCAAAGATCCTCATCACCAGAGATTAAAAAACAGCAGGATATCACCTCTCATACTGTATTCATTTCAGCCAAAATGTCACAATAATTTAAGACAATGAGATGGGGGGACAGCATGTTTGTGGTGCTTTGTGTAACAGTCACATGTGGGCTGTAAATGTTGTCACTCGATGAACTTACAACAAAAGCTGTAATTTGTAATGAACCCAATTCATGAATATTCTACAATTTTTAATGCTTTTGTTTGGCTGCCATAGGCCTACTAATTGTCTTTAAAAACATGATTTTATTGATAACATAATAGAGCCATTTCACGTACGTAATACTGACATATCTGGAAGCTTTGAGATAAGCAAATATTTTAATGTCCAAAGACCCGAGCTGCTGCATACTGACTAGCCGACTAGACTCTTCTCCTCTGTCTCCTCTGTACCTACTAACTTAATGATGATGGTCTCCATATTATTGATGATGATGATGGGAATGACGATGGTTTTTGTTTAATAACGATGACTTATAAGATGGTTTCTATACTGATTAGAGCTCTCAAGAACTGCCCTCAATGTTGTGCTTTGCCTCTGGTCACTTCCTGTCAGCACCTGTGTGTCCAATCAGACTCAAAGCTGATCGTTTGCTCTTACTGACATTGTTCCCTTTTTTTCTAGATCCTTGCTTGTGTTGTGCTTACTCTCTGATGTACGTCACTTTGGATAAAAGCGTCTGCTAAGTGAATTGTAGAATTGTAGAATTGTAGAACCTAGAGTTAAAATGAGAGATGTGCCTGTGATATCTTTTTAATCTTTGTTTTAGTCCCATTGAAGAACTCCTTTTTTTGTTACTGTTGATAGGTTACATGGAAGAGATTCATCGATCTGCAGCAATGTGTGTGTCTTTGTGTGTGTGTAGGTGTGGGCAGTTAGTGTGTCAATGCACTTAGCTTTATTAAGTGATACAGCCCCATGAGTGAGATGGAGGCTGTTTATAATCAAGTTATTCACAAGGAGCAATCCAATTTTCTCAGAGAATGGAGTGAGATTGTATGTCTATGTATGTGTGTGTGCGTGCGTGCGTGCGTGCGTGCCTGCGTGCGTGCGTGTGTGGATGTGAGAGTTTGTCCTACGATTGTATAATGTCATGTAATGTTATACGCTCCATAAGTAGATAAATCATCTTTAATGGTGATGTCAACCTTTCAATAGACCTAACCTGGTCTGTTCATGTTCTGTATACTACAAAAATCGTCTTTTTTTCCCGTGTTTTCCATACAGCTTTCGTTATTGCTTCTAGTCCAGTGATACTTCTCATAGTATCTTCCATTTAGCCTGAGGTGGAAGTAGTGTGTGCATGTGTGTGTGATTAACCCTTTATACTCTCTTTAGGCCTGTTTACTCTGAGAGCCTCTCGGAGCACAAAGAGGCTTTTCTGCCATTTCAGCACCTCTTCCTGTCCCTTTTCTGCCTGCCTCCTTTAGAGGCTGTCTCCATAGAAACGGGACACCAGATGAGAGGATAGGTGACGGGGGGGAAAATTACACAGAAATAGAGATAAGAGGAAACAGCCAGTTACACAAATTTCATGACATGAATGTTACTGAAAATAATTCCCTTATTCATACGAAAATTCTGTTCATTTATATACCAGGAAATGTTTTGGTTTTTTTAAACTAAAATACAAAATGTGAAAAACTTTTAATAATATGATGTTTTAAACACCTTAAAATGTTTATTTTGGGTTATATGATACACTTTACAGGGGTGGAGTTGGGGTTGCTATCACAGATGGACTCTATTAGTCTTCTGGGAATGTGTGAATAAATGTAATAGGCTTCAGGCTCGGGGCCGAGGAACAACCACTCTTTGTTGTTCTCCTTCTATCGTCTCCCCCACACACTCACAGGACCTCATGTCCTGTGATGCAGCAGTAAATCAGTCAATGAATGTCACTATACCTCTCTGAACAACCCTGAGGCTGCAGCACCCTAGACCAGCCAACAGTCTCCACCCTCAGCCTCAGCACGGTCGCAGCCCAGCAGGACGCTTTAGAGTCTGGGCCAAAAGGGAGCAAAGTGTGGGTCAGCCTGTGCCCTGGGGATGGAAGCTGGAATGTAGGTCTGCTCGAGAAGGGCTCATGTTCATTTCTACATTACTGATGATCTCTCACTGCAGTTGCATCCCTCAATGACAGTGATCTGCATTCAGACACATGAACAATCTACATATAGACTCACACATGAGCCAAACTCAGGGGATCATGTTTATCCTTTCAGTACATTTCTATTTCTTAATATTGAAGATTCAAAGATTCAAAAAACTTAATTGTCTATCACATTGTGACAGAAAATTACCTTTTGTTGAGGCTCAACATGAAAACATACAAACATTCACACTAACACTCCCATTAGGTCATAAATAGCTCAAAGTACCCTAAATAGGTAAAAACACATATGCACAGCATTTACAAAACATTGCTTATTTAGCCTTGTTTAAAATGAGTATTGCAGTGGGAATAAAAGAGTTTCTGTAAGTTTTCTTTATGTTAAGCTATAAGGGACATGACAGGTTTGATAGACCTGGAAACATCGTTTTCAAATGTCTGTACATCTTATGAGTGTGTTAGCTTTAGCTGTTAAAAATTAGTATAGTCTATATTTATATTAAAAATGTATAATATTTTGGTTAAATAAATACACTTGACTGGTGTTGGATAAAATATACCACTCATATCTAATGCTATAGGAGGATAGCATGAGCAGCTGATTAGCTTAACATAAAGTCAATAAACAAGGGGAAACAGCTAGCTAGCTAAGTTAAAGGGGAACTCAATGAGCCTACAGATAATATCAGCTACAAGTAATTAAAAATTAGAGAGAGACAAGTTGGATAAAATATTTATACGACGGGGCGATAGCCATAGTGGTTATGTTGAACCTCCCATTTTCGTTGCTGCATGTCATCCCCCGATCTCTTCTTCCAACATTTCCTCTCTCTTCGCTGTCGTAACAAATAAAGGCAAGTTAAATTAGGCCTGAAAATATAACTTTAAAAGAAAAGATTGATACAAGTCATGTTTTTTTTTTCTAGATAAGAGGCTGATGCAAACAAAAATTAGGTCGTGTAAGCCTTCCTTAACGTTTCCTCCATGAGCCTACGATGCCTCCAGAGGGCTGGAAAGTGACTCCAAGCATCCCAGGAGCTCCCCCTCTCTATGTCAAGCCGGCTCTCCACAGGTATTGATGCACTGCAAACTATGGTTTGCGTCCAGTTGCTGTGCTTCATTCAACTGATCTGACAGGAAGCTAGTCAATGCGAGGCCTCTGTGCTACTTAGTTTAGTTTGTTTATTTAAAAGGACAATGTGCACTTACATTAAATGTTTTCAATAAACAAAGAGATGGGCGCACCAGATTTAGCTAAAAGCTACATTCCATCTGTAGTCCATTGCTACTGGATAACAGGTTGGGTGTAATTGGCTACCAAATTGGGAGAAAGGGGGATAAAATCTGATACAAATTTACGAAAAAGGAAATGTGGGAACATAGGGCCTAATTTTGAAAAAAAATCTCTCACACTCCCGTTCACTCAATTCAACAGTAGCGCCAAGATTGAAAAGCGGCAATGACACAGGCCATGGCACACGTGACATACCAGCGGCACGCCGCTGTTGCAGATCAGCACTTCCATGTTCCACAACATAAAGTGTAATATGCCGCTGTTTCCAAATTGGCACTTCCATGTGACATGGCATGTGTCAGTGCTGCTTTTTGATCTCTGCGTCACTCCAGTTCAAACCTAACTTAATGACACTAGCAGTAGCCTACCCCTTAAACTCAATTCCATTTACACCAATGAATAAAGGCTGAATTACAGAAACAACTTTTATTCATGTTAAGAACAGCATGACAAACCTATTCTTGAAAATGACCCTGCAGTTGAATCAACAGTCCTCTCTTGTAGTTTCAAGAAAATTGAATTTTAAAACCATCATGAAGATGTGTTGTGTTAATCCCAACAAACTGGCACCTGCGTTTTCAGTACTTCAGCTCACAAACTAAGGGATAAGACAGGTCCCCAAGGTCACCTTTTTTGCTCGGTGCAGTCAGAGCTGTACAGCTACTATCACAGATCTGACAAAACTCCAGGGTTAAAGAATACGAGATATTGAGTGAGCCTAAAGTCTAAATGGTAGGGGTCTTTTTTTGTACCAAACCAGCTAGTTGTTTCCCCCTTTCCAGTCTTTATGCTAAACTAAGCTAACAGGCTATAGCCATTAAGTTGCCTGCAATCTGAATACCATCACTATTTCCACTGCTGTGAATGCACACTTTGCAGGTTGATTGGACAAAGCACCTCAGCGGGTCCAGCACCTCCAAGAACAGCCAAGGACATGCTCTACTGTGTACCACTGCAGCTGACGCACATAAATCTAAATCACTTATAAGTAGCTCCTGTGTTACACCCATGCAAACACACAGACACACACCATCAAACATCTGTGCTCTCACTTATTAGACTCGAACATGAATTCCCATAGCAGATGAACTCGAGTGAAATAACTGAACATAATTGAACTGCATAATGTTTCATTTTTTGTGATGCACCTCTTTCAGTACCAGCCTGTGAATAGTCAAATGCGTGTTCATCTAATCCTGGCCAATTCACACACTTTTGTTACGGTAAAGAATCGAGGATTAGTTTATGGAACTTCAAAGTCAAAAATAGAAAAACGCATTTGAGGGATTATAGACATATCAAAGAATAAGATGGAGAATACATTAGGGAGAAGTTTCATCTTCCATCTGACTCCCTCTGTCTCGTTTCTCCACTTTTCCACTGACATGCATATAGCGTTGGACATTCAGTCATGTGGAATAGTTCAATCAATAAACAAGGCTGGTATACAAGGTTTAGCAGGTAAGAATGTGTAGCAGCACATTGTGTAATACTTTTTGTTTTGGAGCATCATTTGTGTTTTAAATGTTATTTCCATCATTGTAGCCATAAAATAAATACCTCATTTCAAAATGATGTAATAGCACTTTAAAAACAGCTACAGAAAAATCAAGGTACATTAAGGTTATTAGTCATTTTATGTATTAGTTCAAAATATAACCACATAGGCCTAATGCAGAAATGAGAAGAGGGCCCATAAACTGTATTTGTGTGTGTGTGTGTGTGTGTGTGTGTGTGTGTGTGTGTGTGTGTGTGTGTGTGTGTGTGTGAAGAAAAATGCCGAATCCAAGCAGCAGAACTAATTCTGACTTCACTGTGACTGTCAGAGGAACCTGAGGGCTGAGGGAGTGATTGTATTTGAACGCCTCTTATGTAATTAGGGTGCTTTTTTGACTATATGCAGCCCTAAATAGAGGGATTATGCTACAGTTTGGCAATTGCAATATTAAGATATCTTAAGGGTTTAAAAAAACACACAGTACTGTTATGAAATCTGAATTTTACATTTGAATGTGCTGAGGAGGAGGTAGAGAGATCTCAGGCAGAGAGGATTTAAAAAAAGAAAAAGCGTACACAGGCCTGAAGAATGAAAGGGACTTAACACATGCCTAGGAGAACAGTGCAGCCTCATTAAGTAACAGTTTGTGTGAGCTGGTCTTAAAAAGCCCACATGGAAAGGTGAGTGTGTTTAAGTGTGAACCACCCTTGTTTGTGTGTTTTTGTCATCCGAGTTGTGGAAGTCAGTGGCTGGTTCCCAGCAGATCTAGCAGGATTGTAGCTTTATCCTCATATCTGGATGTTAATCTTGTGTAGATTCCAGTTGCTGCTGCTGGGGAACATAGTGTGTGAAGCACTTACATCGTCACCTGCTCCTCGGGACACGGACACACAAACACATGGTTAAAGTCATAAGCTCCTTTGTGCACACAGAATGGCTTTATAGCTCATGCAGCCGTTGGCAGACTATGCTTCATTACATAAAAGTGAATGTGACAGTGGAGATACTTTTTCTCTACATCCAGTCAGAATTCCTTTTCTTATATATTACCATTGAACAGCTGCTGGTTTCTTTATGGTCATACATAAAAAAAATGTATGAACAACTAACTTGTTGTCTAGAGTTATGAAATCAATAACTGGACTGTGTTTGCACCATATTGGGAAATCTGTTTGCTGCAGTTCTGATGTGACTGTCATTGGCAAACTGTTTGACCTGTTCATGTCAGAATATGAGTCACATATATGAGGAGGAAGAGATGGATTTGGAGAAATTTGAGTTTCCTCCATGCGGCTGTAGATTTGAATCCTGCCAGTTGAAAGTCTGCCATCACAAACTGAGCTGTAGCACTGAACACTTTGCATAGATCATTTTAAGCAGTCAAACATAAACCTGGCTTTATCAGTAGCATGCTAGAGGAAACTAAACTGGAGGAGAACAGTGGACCCAGAATCAATGATGAGTATAGGCCTATATATAGTTGACTGTATAGAGAGAGAAAACTGAGACAGAATGGTAAAAAAAGACTAATATTAGTTCCACAAAGAGAAATGTTTACAAATTTCCTCTTTTGAAGAATTATGACTCAGCAAGAGGAGGAAGTGAGCAGACTGCTACTTCCCATCTAACCCAGATCAAACTCCATCCTCCGCATGGACATGATAACCTCAGCTCTTTGACCTCAAGGTGTGTAAAGTGGTGGCCCCTCCTCTCCGTCATCACGGGAACAGCCCTCCTCTGTTCAGTTTAACGGACCTCAGATGTCGCCGCTGGCAGTCGGTGTGTGCTGCAGGTTTGTAATCTTTACAGTGGGTGTGACGCTGGGCGGGGCCACACGAGTCCATCGACATCGTTGATTGGATGTTTTTGTTTTAATAGAGGAGGGGCGAGTTCAGCAGTTGGCCGAACAGCGAATCAATCAATGTGACTATGCTGCGTTCAATGACTCCTCGTATTATTGTACAGTCAAAAAAGAGTGCATTTAAGGGGAAAATTGTGTGGTGTTGAGTAATTTAACATAATATATTTACTCAAGTATTGTTTTGTAGCCTACATTTAGCCCACTCTTCTACTCTTCCACTTTATAGGCTTACCTGCCTTATTGCAGTATTAGGCTACTACAGGTAGTCCACTGTTTTATCACCTCAAATTCAGATGAATGTGTCAGAAAGAGTTGCTAGTTAAATTATGCAAAAAGGCAAACAATGCTAATGAATAATGTCTCTTTTGGGTCCCCATACTTTATTGAAGTGATGTTAATATCTGGAATAACCCTCTGAGTGAGAGATTATTTCAAACCCATGGAGTAGCTTTTGCAAAATGTTACTGAGAAGCAGAGGTAGGCCTGTAATGATGTTGAGTATGGCAGCTGTTGTTATTTCTTGGTAGACCTATCTACAGATCCCTCAGTGGACTTTAAGTTGTGACTTTTTAGTGATTTTTTGAGGCCACAGCCATGGGTGGTTCTAGGCAGGGGCCAACAGGGGCCAGTGCCCCTGTAACACTGAGCTTGGTTCCCCCTGTGGCCACTCCTCCAAAAGGAAGAGCCCCCTAGTATTTGACTCAACAACCGGACTCACAATTTAGAATTAAATACTGTTACTGAAACAAATATAAATCATGGTATTTTATGATGTGTGTTATTATTTGGCTTTTTTTTTTTTTTTTTTTTAAAGCGATCATCTTTGTCTATTTTTCACTTGGGTTTAATGTTTCCCTCTGACAAAACAACTGGCCCCAGTTTAGTGGTCTAGAATCGCCACTGCCCACAGCTGCCTGCAAGAACGCTTCCAAATGTGATACCAATATTTCCTACATCCCGTGAATGCATCAGTACCTCTTGGAGTTTACTGTCTGAGCGCTCCGTCAACGTGATCGTGTGTCTCTTTCAGAGCAGCGGTGTGGCTTCTATGCTTCACTTACACTCTCTTCACACAGGATGTAGCTGCAGAGACAGAGCACGGACACACACACACACGGCGGGTTTACACTCTGTGATGTGACGAACACCGGGGTGAGCCAGACATGACCGCCGCAGCGGAGGACAAGCAGACAGGAGGAGTCCGGCTGAGGCAGCGCACCGCGGGCAGGTCTTGCTCCCGCTGACCTTAGGGGCTCCCTGCACCGCTGCAGAGCCGCACAGTTTACCAGACACTGGAAAAAAACTCAACATAGCCGGAATACTCCACAGACCGTCGGTGAACCTTTTGAAAGAGATAATGGCGAGCCAGGGCGACTGCTCCGTGAAGGTTGCGTTGAGGTAAGTCTGCGGCGTCTGTTTGCTAGAAATCTGCCGACCTTAGCAGACCACATTGTGTCTGTGCTGCTGGCGATCAATTAAATGCTTCCTTTCACACATATATTATTTCATGCATGCCCCTGCTTTAATCATGCTGTATATCCGGAACAGAGAAGAGTAATACACCTTGTTTTGTAATACATGGGTGGTGGTGCTCTGCACAGTATTGATAAGGCAAACCGCGATATCTGCATATGATGATGTTTGCATGTATGGAGGGGGCATAAGTTCTCCACAGCATGAGTCCACTGTGTGTGTGTGTGAAGAACTCAGTATGTGACACAGGGTGAAGTGACAAGGACAGCTGCAGCCAGGTGCAGGGAGGAGAATGGGCGTTTCTCCCCAAAACCAATGTTAGTATTATTTATTCTCACATGCATTTACATGCAGTTTCACCATAATCTACCAATGTTAAGTGAACTTCTTATATGTATGGCTGAATCACCTTTTTCAGAGCATTTTGCCTTTTTTTTAATCCTGCTTCTGCAGAAGAGTAGGCACAAAGACATGCTCTCCTTCAGAGCTGTGTCATTCACTGCCTTTGTTGAAAATGCACCCAAAAAGCTCAGGCAAGCAGGACAGAAGCTTTTGGATCCACATCAGGAGATATTTAGCAGCCCATTGATTATGTGTGCCAAGACTCAAAGCTGATTTAAAGAGATCATAGAAATGTGCATGTGCTGGCTCTGGATGCCGCTGAAACTGGAAAGCATGGCTGTGGTGTGAGTGTGATGGAGGCTGCGCCTGTATTCATGCCCATTTAGCAGATTGTGATGCTGAGGGGCTTGTCCAGACCCTCCCAGACTCTGTCACATGAGCTGGTCCCACTTGGTCACACTATGGGGTCCTTTACAAGTAGATGTTGTTAGAAGCACAGTATTGTACACATGAATGGTCAAAACTGTAGCAGTGAAATTTAAATACTCATCATTCAGGCCCGACGTGGCTTCAACTTATTGGGGGTTGAGGGTTGGGGGTCGGCTCTGTGTGGCAGTAGCCTTTTAACATGAACCTTCCAACCGATGGCCCTGTTTCCCCTGGGGGAGAATTTAAGAGTCACTTGTCAATCAGTCGCTGAGTAGTGAATCTCCTTTGTGACTATGCACAGCGTCAAACTGTAACAGGAAGTGGGGTGGGTGGTGCTGACAACAAAAGCAAAGAGAAAAGGTGAAAAGAGGGTTAGAGAGAGACAGCTGGTGCCTGCTGCTCAGCTGAAGTTATTGATTTAAAGTCTGGGATGCTGCAGAGAGGCTTGTTGACAGAGTGTAAGTGAATGAGTGAAGGTGACAGATGTATCTATGAACATTTAATCATGGGCCTGCATCTTCAACTGTTTCTATCTTATTTAGCGATGCAACAAGATCGTCAGTGTGTACGAGCATATTTTCATCGCTATCATCCACTAAACCCACATTTATGTATGTGGCAGAAGGATGCCCACCAATGAATCAGGTTCTGCCCCAGGTTTTTTTCTTGCTGCTTTTGTTAAGTGCTTTGTCATTGGTTGGTTAAAGAGGACATATTATACCCCTCCTCCACCTTTTCAAACAGTCCCCCTGTGGTTTAAATGAAACATCTGTGCTGTGCTTTTATCAAAATATAACATGAATCAAGCACCAGAGGAGGTTTGTGACCCTGGTATAAACCAGCTCTCTCAGAACGCTCCGTTTTGGTGTGTGTGTCTCTTTAAATGCAATGACCCCCCTGAGTTTTACCAGTAGACATCACTCCTCTGTAGCGAGAATAAAAATGGCGGACCTGCGCAAAAGTTTTGCTCTAGGCTGGGGGTGGAGTCCATGGGTGGAGATATCAGGTTTTTTTTTTTACCAGAATCCCACTGTGACATCACAAGGAGAGCCAATTTGAAACGGAGCATTTTTCTCTGTGTTGTAAGACTTATGCAGACCACAAACAAAGGACTGGATGGGTTTATTTCACATTTTGTGGATCAGTAGACACTCAGGTTACCCAAACATATGTTTAAAAACTCTGAACAAGTGGATTTTTTAAATAATATGTCCCCTTTAATGTTGGGTCCCCATTTTCATTCACAAGAGTAACTTTAAATCACTTCAGACAGAACTAGGGATGGGTAAACCAGGGTATCTCAAAATACAATACGCAAATTGGCCCATGTTAAAGGTAATATCATGATACAGCGATACTTCGATAACTGAAATGGCACACCAATCATATGATGCTACATTGATATCTGATCAGTGGAAGATGACAAAATAACCCTTAAAAGCAAAAGTGCGGGAATACTCTATTATTCACTGCATATTGGTAACAGTTTCACCTTTTCCAACTTTCTTTCACGTCTGTCTTTTTCTTCTTCTTTATCCCAGCGTCAGATTCTTCTTTGGCTAATTAACTTCCATTCACATTACCATCAATCATAAGCACCACCGGACATCTGTAACAAGTTGTTTAAAAAAAATAAAGGAATCCATATGGCACCAGCGATTAAATAAATGTAAACCACGAGTAAGGATAATATTGCCATTGATCATTGAGCTGTTCTTTTTCTTTCATGTTTAATACATTTCTACCCCTATTTTATCATGTCTGATCTGTGTGTGGATTTACATGCCCTCTTGAGTGCCACCAAGAGAGTCTGTAATTTTGACAGGAAATGGGAAGCCCATAAATAAACACACAGTGAGGAATAACTTCCTGCTATATAAGCGACGGTTTTCCCAACGACCCCTTTACATCTTTTTTTTCTCTCTCCCGTATTCCCTGAGAAAGTCGGCTGCTGATAAGAGAGGATGGTGTTTAATTGCTCCCATGTTGTGCAGCCCCGCAGGCAGACCCCAACTCATAGTTTGTGGGTGCATGTGAGTATGTATTTAGAGGGCAGTGGGGTTATTGTGAGGGCTGAGAAATGCACACACACACACATACACACACACACACACACACACACACACACACACACACACACACACACACACACACACACACACACACACATACACACACACACACACGTAGTCTATGTCGCCGGCATCCACTTCCTGAATGTCTGCAGAGCCTTCCCTAAACAATGTCCATATAACAAGTGACATGACCTACAAGCCTGCTTTTGGACCAAGGGAAACACACACACACACACACACACACACACACACACACACACACACACACACACACACACTGCTTTGCAGTCAAGTTAAACGTGTAAAGTAACTCCCTGCTAAGTGGCAATCATTAAATTGTGTCTGGCTTGGCTGTTTCTTTTTTATACATCTGCACTCACTTAAAAGATAAGCTTAGTCTGATGCAAACACGCTATAAGAAGGAGAAGACTCCTACATTTTCTCTAACTCACACATTTGAACCCCCACACACACTCTTCATCTCGGAAAGACATGCGTGCAGTTTCACTTCCTCCTCCTCCTTTTGTCAGTCTAATGTTGAGTGCTGAGTTTTCCCCCAGATTAAAAAGCTTTACGTTAGGGCCAACTCGAAGCTTGCATATGTGCCTCTATAAATGTCTATAACTCAGCTTTTGTGTGTGCTCATTAATCAGGTGTAACTTGACATGAGAGTTATGTGTTTCCATTTGCGTATCGATCCTTCTTCTGCTGTTTTATTTTTTCTGCAGCTTTGCCACTTACTCATTTCAGACCGACCCACAACTCTTGACGTCCAACAAAGTGCAAAATCAGCCTCCACATCAGTGCACACACACAGGCACAAAGATAGAGCTGTGTGACCCTGTGACTGCTGCCTGATGTCTCATCTATAACAGACTCATCCGAGAGGCTTTCCCCTCGCTCCGATTTGATCTCTTTCCCATAAGAATCAGCTGATCTTGTGTAAATGGAGCACAAAATAATCTGTGTTCTTCCTGACCTGAAACATGAATAAATGTGGTGTGTTTTGGACCGTTATGACGCAGACTGTTTTGGCTCAAAGGCGATGGGAGCTCAGTTGAGAAAAACATTATCTTCTATCTCTCTGCTCAACGTGTCAGAAATACAGCTTTGCAGAAAATACAAAAAAAAATTCATAAGTCATGTGTAACAGGACTGCAGACTTTTGCCATCTCATGACCAAATCACCGGCTTCAAAACAAACCAGAAGCAGCAGAATACGATTGCGGAAGGCCCCCCCCCCCCCTCACAGCTGGTACACAAAGGCTTTATTTGGGAGGTTTTGAAAAAAAAAAAGCTTTTTGTTGTTGGACGTATGTCCTGTGTCGGCTACCAGTCTCGCCTGTTTCCTGTAACAGTTTGCCACACAGGCTCTGTCTGGGTTACACACCTCCCGGGGGGTTGCCTTTTAAAAATGGCTGGTGGGGAAATCGTGTGTTTATGTTTGTCTTTGTGAGCATGCGATCGTCCTACAGCCGTACTGGTCACAGGTTAGTGCTGTATTTAATCTCCCCATGGGTGCATTCTTACACCTAGTCCCAACCCTCAGCCCCCAGCTGTAGTGAAAAGTGAAAGCTGTTTGACTTTGTTGATACGACTCGGCACTGAAGTTGCTTCTAATCAGTGATTTTTAGCCTGAACCAAAGGAAGAGGAGCAGGAAAAACCCGACCGAGCACACGCCCAAATTGCCTGTCCACAGCCTGGGCATCACTTCCTCCAAACACCGGCCTGCTAGTCACATGCTTTCTCTTCTTGTTCTTCTAGCCTCTTTCATCTAACACTTGTATGTGAATGTCTTTTGTGGCAGCAGTGTTCAAGAAGCTGTCTCTCCAGAACTGCTTAGTAACAGGAACATTATGGGTCCATGTTTGACCTCATAACATATTGATGTAAGTTACATTCATTATTAAGAGTAAATGATCGATGCAGTAATATATTGTCATCATGTGATACGATTATTGTGTCACTGGTGCCAAACGTCGTTATTTCAATAAAAACAAATATGGTGCTCTAATCAGATTCCCCTTGCAATTTGACTCACTGCGTCCCTACTTTCTGAGCCCTCACAGTGGCACTTA